TATCAAACGTAAATTTGGTCTTTTCACATAGTCCCACATTTCTTGAAGACTTTGCTCATTCCTTTTTAACCTTTTTTCTCTAATCTTGTCTTCTTGTTTTATTTCATTAAGTTGGACTTTGACCTCTGATATCCTTTCTTCTGCTTGAATAATTCGAGTGTTTAAACCTCCGCATACTTTCGGAGTTCCTGTATTGTATTCTTCAGTTCCATTAATTCACTTATATTCCTCTCTAAGTTGTCCATTCTCAATAGAATTTCATCAAACCTTTTTTCAAAGTTCTTAGTTTCTTTACGTTGGGCTACAACATGTTCTTTTAACTCACAGAAGTTTCTTATTATCCATTCCTTGAAGAGTGATTCTGTTATTGGGATGCGCTCGTTCTCCATCAAGCCTTGTTCCATTGTCGATGTGGAAGTGTGATCATCTTTAGAGGGAGAGGCATTCTGATTTTGAGTATTCTCAGCCTTTTTACGCTGGTTTCTTCCCATCTTGTAAATTTATCCTCCTGTCATCTTTGAAATTACCAACTTTCAGATTAGGTCTCTTGAGTGGATGTCCAAGTTGTTAGTTCCCAGGGCCAGAGCAGTGGCGTTAAGACTGATGGTGCTTTTCTGCCCAGGATTCTCCTGTCTGGCTTCCTTCTTGTGTCCGTAATAGGCGACTCTGCCTTCCCGGGGCTCCAAACCTCGGTCAGAAGGGGAACCAGTCTCGTTTACTCTGTGCCAAGAGCTGCCGCGCCGAGGTGCCGTCACAGCTGCTGCGCCAGCCTCAGGAGTCCTGCTGGGGACCCGTGTGAGTCCTCCAAACCTCGGTCGGAAGGGGAGCCGGCCCTGTTTACTCTGCTCCAAGAGCTGCTGCGCCAGCCACAACAGTCACGCTGGCGATCCGTGTGACTCCTCCACTGGGGTTCTTCTGCTCTGTGAGCGACCAGAATTTGTCCGAAAGTGTGGCATCCTCTAGTTCTCTGCGCTTCCACTGAGAGCTGCAATCCCGAGATGTTAGCGATCGGCCATCTTGGATCGTTCCCGGAGCCTTGGTTTTGATAGTCACTCAGGGACAAAACTTGGCCCTTACAGGGTATGAGACAGTCCTACATTCCTGAGAGCACTGAAGGGCTACACCCTTAGTGACAGGCTGGACTAGAAAAAAAATTCACATGCTGGTCCAGGATGAAAATAAGGAAGATAGGCCAAGCTCGGTGGCTCATGCCAGTAATCCCAGCGCTTTGGAAGGCGGAGGCAGGCGATCACTTGAGACCAGGAGTTTGAGTCCAGCCTGGGAAACATAGCAAAACCCTGTCTCTACTAAAATGGCAAAAAATTAGTAGGGTGTGGTAGCCCATGGTAGTCCCAGTTACTTGGAAGGCTGAGGTGGGAGGCGGAGGTTGCAGTGAGCCAAGATCTCGCCACTGCACTCTGGGCTAGGCAGCAGAGTGAGATTTTGTCTCAAAAAAAAAAAAAGAAAGGAAAAGAAGGAGGCTTATGGGCCTTGTTTGCCTCTGAGAATATGTAAGCACAACCTATCCCTCATATGCACTTAGGAGTTGAATTTATACTACCTCTGTAGTCAGGGAAACCCACCATAAATAAATTAACTTAAAAAGTGGTCCAGCTTGGAAATATCCCTGAGGCAACTGGCAGAAAAAATACACAAAATTTCTCTGTATGGCAAAATCTTTAACCAAGCCTCACCAGATTCCTTCAATAATACCTCACTAAAAGCAAGCTCACAATACAAACTTACCAAATATATAAGAAAACCAGAAAGGCAATAATGTGTGTACAACAAATATATAACACTTGGGTAGCACTTTGTTGCTAAATATTCGAATGTTTCTAAGCAGGGCAATTTCAAGTAATCCACAAAATCTTGTGCCTTTTCCTCAGTGAGGAAATATTTGGAACTCCATTGAAAAGAATTGGGAATGATATTCTGCCATAAAGGTCCAAGAAATGAAGGATGCAAGTTATAAAATAATAAACATAGCTTGAGACTTCATTTTAAAGAAAAACTACAGAGGTTATATATTTGTATGTACATATAACAGAGTATAGAAATGTATACACCAAACTTACCGAAGAGTAGGATTTGGGGAGGATTGAGGGAGAAGAGTTCTTAAAATTTGCACATTGTTCAGATACAGTTTTTTCTTTTGGCAATGAGCTTTTGTACTTTTTAAAAAAAAATAAAGGAAAATTTTTTTAGGAGACCTTTTGCATGTAGCAACAATAGCAGTTATTTTGTCTTTGAAAATAATTGATGAAACCCAATTTTCTGAGTGCAGTATAACTGCTAGCTGGGTATGTCAAGGAATGAACTAGGAGAAAGACAAACCCAAGATTTTTTGAAAATCCTGTTTTTCACACTTCTCTTAGTTTGGCATTCTGTCACCTACAATGTAATTACTCAGAAGTAGTTCTTAGAAAGTGTCCCCTTCTGAGAATAATGTTCATTGAAAACAACATGAAAATGATTCAAGAACTGACTGCTGGTCACAACTGTCTTGCACAATAAACTTTATAGCTATGCCTCAAAGAGATCACACAGCATCAGAAAAGATGGTGAGATCATCTATTCACTTGTGGTTGGCTTAGATTTAGTCAAGTAATCAAAGAAATTCTAGTCAATGCAGAATGATTTAAAAACATATGAATACTAAAAGACGAGAAACTCTATATTTTGAAGAACTGAGTTGAGATGTCTTGTGAAAAAGATGTCTTGCTAAAAGATGTGAGAAATAATTTGCTGTTTTAAAGATAAAGGCCTTGCTGGAGGTAAGAGATATACCAAGCATGGAAAAAAAGGATTATTTCCAAGACAGAATTTTAAAAATAGTAAGGGATTTTTATGGCATTAAAATTTAGCATCTGAAATTTAGCCTTTGAAGAATTTTAATTGAATATATTTCATAATAATATCTGAAAATCTTTCCTTGTCTAATGCAGCCATGGCTCGTGGTCCCAAGAAGCATCTGAAGCAGGTGGCAGCTCCAAAGTATTGGATGCTGGATAAATTGACCGGTGTGTTTGCTCCTCGTCCATCCACCAGTCCTCACAAGTTGAGAGAGTGTCTCCCACTCATCATTTTCCTAAGGAACAGACTTAAGTATGCCCTGACAGGAGATGAAGTAAAGATTTGCATGCAGCGGTTCATTAAGATTGATGGCAAGGTCCAAACTGATATAACCTACTCTGCTGGTTTCATGGATGTCATCAGCATTGACAAGACGGGAGAGAATTTCCCGTCTGATCTATGACACCAAGGGTCGCTTTTCTGGGCATCGTATTACACCTGAGGAGGCCAAGTACAAATTGTGCAAAGTACGAAAAATCTTTGTGGGCAACAAACCATGGATTTCTCTTCCCCAAGGAAAGGGTATCCGCCTCACCACTGCTGAAGAGAGAGACAAAAGACTGGCAGCCAAACAGAGCAGTGGGTAAAATGGTCCCTGGGTGATATGTTAGATGTTTATGCGTAATTAAAAATCATATGGCATGATTAATAGCAATAAATAAATATCTGAATTATGAGAAAGACTGAGTTGATTTTATAGTTTGCTTTTAACAAAATTTATCCTTCCATTGGCCAAATTTGGGACAGAGACTGTAAAATGATTGTAAAACATCAGATAAATAAAACTCCATGTGTCCATAGTGATATTCAAAGAGAAAAAGAAAAAATAAGGCTCTTTTTTAAGAATGTCAACTAATAAAAGCAGAAGGAAGGATATTTAGAAAACTTCATTTTGCATCCCCAAAGCAATCACTGATTCAGGCAAAGATCAGCCATGGCCAGATTCGGTGGCTCACGCCTGTAATCCTAGCTCTTTGAGAGGCCAAGGTGGGCTGATCACCTGAGGTCAGGAGTTCAAGATCAGCCTGGCCAACATGGTGAAACCCCATCCCTACTAAAATACAAAAACTAGGCTGGGCGAGGTGGCTCATGCCTGTAATCCCAGCACTTTGGGAGGCCGAGGCAGGCAGATAACGAGGTCAGGAGTTTGAGACCAGACTGACCACCATGATGAAACCCTGTCTCTAGTAAAAATACAAAAAAATTAGACAGGCATTGTGGCACATGCCTGTAGTCCCAGCTACTCAGGAGGCTGAGGCAAGAGAATCACTTGAACCCGAGAGGTGGAGGTTGCAGTGAGCCAAGATTGTGCCACTGCACTCCAGCCAGGGTGATAGAGTGAGACTCTGTCTCAAAAAATATATAAAAATAATATACAAAAACCTAGTATTTTTTTTTAATGTGGGGAGACTATTCTAGACTAAAAAGACTAGAAACCTACAACCAAACGCAAGGCATAACATTGACTTCATCCTGTTTTGTGGGGGAAGTATTGGGGTAGAAAGCTGCTACCGGAAAAACACTGGGAAATTTTTGATGTAAATATTTGATATTATGAATCACTACTGATTTCCCTTTAGTGTGATCATATTGTGGGTTTACAGGAGAATCTCCTTGTTCCTGGGTAATGTATGCATTTTAGAGATAAAATATCATGATACCTGAAATTTACCTTAAAATATTTTATCAGTGTGTGGTAGGGAGAGGGGAGGATTGCTATTATAATATCTGTCTTTGACCTGGAAAATCAGTAATATACGTAAACCTAATACAGAGTCACAGCAAACATGGCAAAATGTTGGCAACTGTTGAATCTAGGTGGCATATAGTTGTTTATTGTATTATCAACTTTTCCATGTTTGAAATTTTTGTAATAAAAAGTTGGGAGAGATCATTATTTTCAGAAATGTTTTCCTTAGATGACACTTTTAATGCACCTTAAATTTTAAAGTACCTTAACTAGAAGTTGTCTGCTTTCCTTCATTTGCTTGTTCATCATCCATTCAAACACTAAACCTATCTGTATACAGCAAATATTCTAATGGTAGACTGTCAAATATAAATCTCACAAATAACACCAATAACCAGCTCAAGATTTATAGGTGCAAACATCTGGTTTTATACCCAAATAACAAAAACTTAACGGCAGTAAAACAAATCGTTTATTACTGCATATGTGTTATATTAAATTTACAAAATGATATATAAAAACACGTACTGTTTATATTATACAGTAATTTAACATCAACAGGAATATCAACACAAGTACTACTCATGCACAAAACATGCATATATTGGTATACAAAAAGCAATTTTACACAATACTGCTTACCAAAAAAAATTGTTTTAAAAAAACAGCCCTTTCACGTAGGATCAGTGGTCCAATCTGGACTGGATTGCACTAATATGTTCAGGTCAATGCTTAGGTGGCATAGCGCTCAGTGAGCAATTCTGGGATTGGAGTCATGCCCAAGGGTTATTTCATTAAAAGTGAATGTCTCTGTGCCTGAGGACCAAAATTTTATCCCCAAAGCAAATCCTCCAAGGAATGAAAGGTTGGATCGTCTACAAATTAGGGAGGGGAAAGAAGGCATCAAAATGTTGGATAAACAGCCCTAGAAGGGGTTATTGGGAACAGGGCCTAGGCACCAAGTGTGTCAAAAGTTTTTGTGGATCCTTTTAAGTCCCTATCCAGGTTGCCATCTCTGGATTTAAGGTCTGGCCTCCAAGTCATGAGTCCAGTAAAAAGAACACTTCTGAGAAGAAAACCGAATGAGGATACATTTGAGAAACGTAGACTACAAAAAACTATAGAATACAATGACTGCCCCTTGTACCTACTTCACACTATTGTATGTGATGCCCCTCAACAGGAAAACCCTCATGGAGACACTGTCCCGAAGACTCAAGGAGCAAATACAAATCTAAAAATCCCATCCACCTGACCTTGGAATCAAAAGGTCTCATCCCAATAAAACTCGAACATCAAAACCTGTACCTTGCTAGATACTCAGAAAGTTTAAAATACAAAACAGCTGGTACCACAAAACTCACTATCACCACCATTAAAACCTCAATATTTACTTCTAACCAACAAAACATTCTTTACCTTCCCTTAAAGGCACTAGCGTCCATATGTGATGAAGATGAGACAATAATTTATCTTGGTTTTAATCTTAAAAGAAAAGCATTCCATGAAAAGTATTATACAAAAATCAAAACACCACCTTTTTTATTTTGGCAACTAGGAAAAAAAAAAATGACACTTTCTACACCAATGACATCACTCAAACCGTCGTCATCAGTTTCAAAGAGCCAGACCGAAAGCGGAGGATCTTCTTCTTGAGGTTATGTGAGGCCTTAATTTTGACAAAGGTTTTTGCAGGGTGGCTGTGAAGGTCTGGGGCCGTGACCGTTTGAATGGGGAGAGTCTGGACAAACTGGGACCAAATCAAGCCCCCGCTTTCTTCAGAGTCGCTGGTGGTTGTGCTCTCCCCCACGAACTCCCCCTCGCTCACACTCGACTCGCTGTCCCCGAAGCAGTTGGTGGTGTAATTGCTCTGCTCGTCCTCACTGGTGTCCACCACGGTGGAGTGGAACAGGGACTCGCACTCGGCCGAGTACTCGGAGTCGCTGGCCACATAGGCGTAGGGGCTGGCATAGGACAGAGGCACTGGCGCGGGGTACAGCCCCACATTCTCCCGGCGACTCCGCCGGGCCCTCCTCAGGGTCTCTTCATAGGAAATCTCGGCTGAGGACTTCCACCTCCGGTAGTCGGTTCGCTTGTGCTTAGGTTTTGCCACCACCGCCTCCCGTCCGTGGCCGTGCGCCCTGCTCCCGGCCCTGTGGCCCCCGCCCGTGAGCCTGCCGGGAACACCCGCCTCGGGCCCACCCCCACTCTTCCTCCCCTTGGAGGAGGCTTTCTTGAGTTTCTTATTTGTATCCAAGTCATCCGGGAAGCGACACTTCTTGCTCCCAGCCCGCGATTTCTCCCTGACAGTGGGCAAGCCGTTCTCCATCCCCTGGAGGACTTGGCCGCGGTGCTTCAGGCTGGAGCTCTTGGTGACGCCCACGTTCCTGGGGCCCCTATGGAGCCTGCCACTGGGCTGCTGCCCCGGGATGAACTGGGCCTTGACCAGGTGCGCCTCCTCCAGGCTTTGGGAAGAAGAGCCCTCGCTCTTGAAATCCAAGGCAGGCCTCTCTTCCAAGGGGAAAGCTGGAGACAGCAGGGGAGGAGCGGCCGGGGGCACGCCCTGCAGGCTGCTTTTCTGAGACATCTTTTTCAGGGGCTGGACAACTTTGTTCTCCTGCGGTGGGGCAGGGCCTCTGCCAGGACTCTCTTTTGGAGAGGCCCCTGAGAGTGGAGCGCTTTCTTTAGGTGACTCCGCTGTCCCGATGGTGGGACACCAAGCATGTTCTTGGGAGGCTGGCTTGGCCATTTTTGGCAGGTGCTTACTCTGAAGGTCGGAGGCAGCGCCTGAGGAGCAGCCCTCTGGCGAGGGCAACCTCTTGCTTTCTGCTTGCTCGGCCTTTGATTCTTTTGACCACTGCTTCGGCGGGGAGAAAGTCCCATTGACCAGAGACGGTATCCCGCCAGAGGGAAGACACGCCTGTTTAGAATTCTTCAGGTTCACACTGCTGCCCTGTGAGACGCCGCCCGGGGCTCTGACACAAACGCTCCCGTTCCTCAGAAGCCCTTTCGTGGGGTCGGCGTTCACACTGGTTCTTGGTTTGTTGGTCCTTACAGGGTGTGTTTTTTTCTGGACCAGGCTCAGAATGTAGCCATCCATTTTCTTGCTGGATGAAGGATGGGAAGCAGACCACAGACTGCTTGGGGATGGTAAGGAGCTGTCTGTTTTGACGACCTCCAGCTCAGATCCACCGCAAATGTCACTGGCATGGTTTCCAAGCCTGTCCTCTTCCCTCATAGGGCTGCCGGTCAGACAAAGGAGAAACATTGGGCTCTGCACAGCCACAGCATGAAGTGGACTGGGATAGCGATATACATCATTCCCGTTTTTAGACACCAGATCACACTGATACTTGGGATTCACATCTGCAATGACATCAAGGGAATTAAATTGTGGTGTGGAGAGGGAATGGCAAACTGCCCCTGAGGCCTGGTCTTCACAGTGGCCTTCTTTATATTCCAACCATCCTATGAGATCTGAAAAACATTTAAAGGTACACTCTGAAGAAATGAATTGGTCAGCACTAGCTTGACTCTGGGTTGAGAGAGAATGCCAAGTATTAAAAAAAACTCCACTAGGTGCCCTACCATTTGACATGTACTTACGGCTACTGAATGAGGGGGAAATATTTAACAAAAATTTTTGACAGCATATGATACATCCTCTGAAGGAAAAATATTCAGCCATTGAGAATGTTTTCAAACTACTGCATAATAGAGGGAAAACACCTTAAAGTTTAGTGAAAATCATGATGTAATACTAGAATATTATAATTTTATTAGGATCACATGTATGCAAAGAAAAAATGTCTGAGATGAAGCACACCCAGATTCTAGTAGTAGCATTTCAGTGTGATGAGAAGCAAGTGGTTATTTGCTTTCTTCTTTATTTTCTGTTTACTAAATTTTCAATAACTGTACCACATTTACAACTGGGAAAAATAAAATTTTTTGAATCACTGTTTCTCTAGGCTACTCTCCCCCTCTGTGTTCTATTCCTGGGTTTCTTTAAAAATACTTAGGATAAACTGTACATTCAGTAGGCTTTGTCCTCATTTTGTGTTTTTAAACCTAATTTCTAATGACATCCGTTCAAATATAATTGTCAACTGGAAGGTAAACTGGTCAAACGTCAGTAAAGACTGATCAAGTTTAAATAATAATCACCTTATATTTTCAATAGTGACACTAAAAAATAAAACAGGGGCCAGGTATGATGGCTCACGCCTGCAATCCTAACAATGGGAGGCTGAAGCATAAGGATCACTTAGGCCCGGGAGTTTGAAACTAGCCTGGGCAAAATAGTGAGACCCCATCTCTCTTAAAAAAAACTTTTAATAAAAACGCACCATTTGTTAATATAAGGAATTCTTGATAAAATTTTAAAAGATTGAGTGGTAGTATTAATGGATAAATTTCCCACATTAAAAATGTTTTTTAAACAGGATAAAGAATTCTTGATAAGATTTTAACAGATTGAGTGGTAATATTAATGGATAAATTTCGCACATCTTGAAAATGTAGGTGCCAAAAAACAGCAAAATCAAGCTTGCTTCCTTAAATCATTTTGATCTCTTAATTTGGAGAATATTATAAATAATGAATCCTTTTAATGACCTTCAGTTATCAGAGCAAATTAAAGTGGAGTTTATCAGTAATTGTCCTCTGTTATTTATTCAAATACTGAGAACCTGTATGTGCCAAATTTTATGTTGAGAAAGCTCCATGAACTTTCATGATAATTAGCAGTCTCAGGGAAAAAAATAATCTAGACCCAGATATGCTATGATTCATTGGTAAAGAAAATATAATAAAACCAAAGTGCCATGTCCCCACCCACTTGACCCCCACCCACCCAATAAAGAGCTTGCTCTAAAAGGAAACCTCTCTAGCTAACATCCTTCCCCATCCTTCCTCTTCCAGCAACCTAAGCCCTATCTTTGCCTTACTGAAAGCCACACTGACAAACACTTCACCATTCATTCCTCTTCCCTCTTTAGAGTTAAACAAAACAGACATCCCAGCCCCCAGGGCCCGGTACAACTGTCTCAATTATGTGAGGATATGGCATTTGTAAGAGCAGGGGTCTGTCTTGAAGGAAAACCTGAACCAAAGTGCCTTTAATGGGTCTATAAAGTTTCCCTCTGAAACCAGATCTGTGGAATGAAGGGGAGCAATTACCAATGAACTTGAGGTCCAGACACTCTAGATAACACAGTCTGTGCTTCCCCAGATGATTGCTGCTGACAACACACAGATATGAAGACATCAGCCAATTGGCTCCCTCAGCTACTCAGTGTTACATTTGCCTTGCCTGGACTCAGAACTTCAACCTTATACTCAAGTGGAGAACACAGACAAACCAGGAGTACGATGACTTGTGCCAGTACTACAGCAATTCTAATTTCCCTATTTACTCTTCTAAGAATTCACAATGTAACAGGACTAAGGAAGGAATCTTGAGTTCCAGCAACAACCCTGCCATTCAGCAGATGGAGAACCTCTGACAAATAGCTTATAAGCCAAAATTCCTCTTCTGTTAGATGAGAAGGTTGAAAACAACAATTTCTGAATTCTCTTGGGATGATGGAAAAACATGGACCTGGCAATTAGGCCTGAGTTGAATTCTGCTTCTGCCACTCACTACAGAGCCTTAAATAACGTATCTAACCTTATTAGCCGTCATGTTTTTTTTAATACATAAAATGGAGCAAACAACCACCATACTGTATAGAACTATTGGGAGGATTTAGTGGAGATAAATGTATGCAGAGCATCCAGTACAGTGTGCGACATGTAGTGGAAACACAGAAACTCTTTTAGTACAATAGCATAATTCCTTCTGGGGGTCACTGCAAGGATAGCCCAAAATAAGGAATAATGGCATGTGGGCACTCATTTAGTACAAGAAAATCAAGCTGCCATCATGCAGAACATTCCGGAGAACATGAAGGGGCCATTGCTCCCTGAAGTGCCAACCAGTTCTTGGCCAAGCTGACAGACAACTTAATGAGAGTGGTTTGACTGATTGATTAATTGATTGAGATGGAGCCTCACTCTGTCGCCAGGCTGGAGTGCAATAGCACAATCTTAGCTCACTGCAACCTCTACCTCCCGGGTTCAAGCAGTTCTCCTGCCTCAGCCTCCCAAGTAGCTGGGACTACAGGTGTGTGCCATCACACCCAGCTAATTTGTGTATCTTTAGTAGAAATGGGGTTTCACCATGTTAGCCAGGCTGGTCTTGAACTCCTGACCTCAGGTGATCCACCTGCCTTGGCCTCCCAAAGTGCTAGGATTACAGCATAAGCCACTACACCTGGCCAAGTTTTAGCTTTAAATAATTAAAAGAGGAAAACAGTTCCAGAATGGTTTTCAAAAGAAAATACAGGCAAGTTAACCTAACAGCAAAGGCTCAGAAACAGAGCTCAAGACCTCCAATACTGGGACAGGATTTCTAGAGATAAACTATCTTGATACTATCAGAATATATAACCAAGTAGCACCCAAATGGTACTGGAATAGTTCTAGATACTCACCTAGATGAAGCTCTAAGTTCTAGATGTAAGTATGGCACTAAATGCCACTAATTGATGAATCTTTGTTTTTCCACCAGTGAAAGGTACTGGAGCCAGATAATCTTTTAAGGGCCCTTGACCCCTTCCAATTTACAATTTCTGTCAATGCTAAAAATTCTTACCTGCAGATTTGGGGCAACCATCTGAGAGAGTCAGGGTTGCCTCCAAGGGGCTGCAAAAGCAGGTGCTGGAATGACAACTGGATAAACACTCACTGAACACCGAGTTAGAGGAATTGGAAAGGGATCCTGAAGCCCCATCACTCAGCTCATAAAACCCTACAAATAAAAATACCGTTGGAATTAAGATCATGTCAAGAAATAATGCATATTCATGCTTAAAAGGAAAATTAATCATTCAGGAAAAGGAGATTTGTTGAGCTTTTTGGTTTTTGGCCAATTTTGGCTCACTGGACTTTGGTGTCCTAATATTATGGTCTTATTTCAAACAATTCTTAGGAAAAAGCAAAGAACCCATAACCAGGAGTACATTTCAGAGTTACTCTCCCCCTCAAACTAACCTTACTCCTTAACCCCGCCTTGAAGATGTCCAAGGAAAGAAACTTAAATCTGTCAAAGCCTCATCTTTATCATGATTGTTTCAGAAAAAAAATAAGAGAAAAATCTATTTAAGGAGCCAAATGGTTTAAAAGAAAAAAAAAACTTTTGATGTGGTCTCAGGAAGTTGAAGTGTGACTAATTTTCTAGCCCAGTTCTGACTTACTCAAGTTTCAAAGGACGGCAGCTCTTGTAGAAATTTGAATAGGTTTTATTTTTAAACTCAGAGGACTCTAGTCACATCGATCTCATTACTAAAAATTTTGTTGTCTGAGTTTATTTCCCTCTCTTTCAGATGAAACTGAATGACAGATCCCTCTCATTCATATGAAACTGAATGGCAGACTGGTTTTTTTAATTTTCTCTCTCTGCACTGGAAACAAACTCCACTGCCATTTGCAGGTCTGGGAATGTTAACCACAGGGGCTGAGATGTACACTCATGAGTGCAGAATTCTGTCCTTGTGCTCCATCACTTACCTGAGCTAGGCCGGCTGTCTGTCTCCAGGTGCTCTTCAGATGTCTTTTCTACATCCAGTCTCAGGTCACTTATCTGCTTGTCAAGCTCTTGCAACTGATTCAACAAACCAGCATCTCTTCGCCTCAAACAATTCTGATTAGGAAGAAACAAAGGAAACATGAACATACAGGGGTGACAAAAGAACCAGAAAGTCTACTCTAAGGATTCAAATTACACATCCAAAGAGTTCACTAAAACTTATAAAACCAAAATTTTACTGGATGACCTGAAATAAAGAAAAACTTCAAGAATTTAAGAATATGTCCTATGCTTAATTCTACTTTCTCACATTTTGTGGCAATATAAAGTTTCTTCATGAAAACAAGACGTTTTTAGTTTCAACTAATATATACAAACTGATACTTTTTATAGATAGGGAGAAGAAAAATGGACTGAGACTTTAAATCATCTGATGTATAGCCAGTCTTTTAAAAAACAATACTTCACAGTAGACTCTTTAACTTGAAGTAAGAGTAACAGATTTCCTATAATACACTATAATCTTAGGTGAGATTTTCTGGCCAAATGACTTGGCCTGCAGAGTTTTATTTTCTATTAGTTGCTTTGTGGGGTTTAATCAGTCTTAGGGCCTTTGAAAGTGAGAAACTAATACTAATAGCCAGTGCCAAGTATAATGTGAGCCAGCAGAATCCAAAACCCTCATGGGAAGGCCCATTGAGATTTGAACGCCTCTGGGTTTCCAAAGGTGACAGATGGATTGTGCTAACTCACACTGCCACCTAGTGCTTCCTATTGCTGGAAAAGCAGGAGAACTCAAAAAGCATCTGGTTCAAATCATGAATGCCAAGTTTACAAATGAAAATAGTACCATAAACACTGACTGGACTGGAATTTTCTTGACATACTACCTTGCTCCCCTCAAGCAGACAATAGGAATGCACCTCTTACAGTCTTGAGATTCATACAGACAAAAAGGTGCAATTGCACAAGACAATAAAGTGTAAGTCACCAGCCATAACCAGTGAGAACTGGCTCAAATCAGTGTTACATCCGAATCTGGTCTGTGACCAAAGCAGCACAGTAAAATACCAAAACAGAGATATTACACAAACCATAGTGTACATCTTTACAGAACACATGCATATGAATATCTGCTCTTCTTGTCTTTTAAAATGCTTGGAGACATAAACCATATTTGTTTGCTACAATTAATTTCTTCAGGAAAAATGAACCTATCAGAAGTACTCTGGTGCTTAAAAACACACACACAGAAATGATCTGAAAAGAGCTTATAGAAGAAAATACATGACAAACGCGCAGCATCACTACTTTATTGTGGGAGGGCCACTATCTGGCATATGTCTAGTTTAGATATATCACTTGGTCGGGTGAGGACGTTTGCTGTTTCCAAAACTACCTTTTGAGGTCACTGAAAACAAAGCTGCCGCCATTATTCTGAGGCGGGGTCAAAAGCTGTTCATCAATACATTAAGCTCCAAAGTTCTTTTTCTTCCCCCTTAATGAAGACTGCATATGACTGAGACGCTGACAGAAATCCAGTAAGACAAATGTTCCCCTAGAGCAGGTTCTCTTTTCTCCCACCTCCACCACCAATCACAGCTGGCAGAACAGAACGTATAAAATATGAGAGGAGGGGACAGTCTCCAGCCAAATTTCCATCATTTCCATCTAGTTTGAGCTGCCTTATACAAAGGGCTTCTATTTGAAATTAAGCACCAGCCTGGGTGAAAGCTGGCATGCTGAGGAGATCTCTGGGAGAGGCACGGCTCCCTACAGGCGCTCCAGTGTAATCGTAAAACTCGGCCTTGGACAGTTAAGCACGCCACAAACCCCGTCCTTGGCTTTTGGCCTCTCTCGGCGGGAGGAGGGGAAGCCAAGAAAACCTCCAAATAAAATGGTATTTTAAGTGGGAGTTTGCAAACCTCTGGGGAGAGGCCATATACTCATCAAACTAAGGAGACCGAAGGTTAGAACTAGACGACTCCAAGAATCTCGAAGGCAGAGGAGGAGGGAAGAGCAGCCACCCCCTTCCTGCAATCCGCGCGAGGTCGCCAGACACAAAGCGGGCACACGCCAGAAACGTGTGGGCGTCGGCAGCCCACGCGCCGCGGGCACTCAGTAAGGGGACCAGGGAGGTACGGGGCAGATGCTCCCATAACAGCGAGCATCTCCCCAGCCAGAGGTAACCTCGAGCCCGCCCCAGGCCACCTGCCCAACCTCCAGCCCCGGGGCAGGGACAGCTGTGCTCCACCTTCGGGAACGACTTACCAATTGCTTTCGTAGCAGCAAGATGTTCTCCTCCAAGAACTTCTCCTCCAGGCGGCTGCGCTGCGCCGCCTCCCCCGGTAGCTCCCCGGCGCGGGGCGCAGCAGCCCCCGCAACCCCCGGGCCGCGCAGGGCGCCCCGGACCAGCAGCTCCTGGCGCTGGCGCAGGTACTCCAGCTCCGCCAGCCCGGCCAGCGTGGCCTCTTGCCGCTCCCGGGTGCGCTGCCGCTCGGTGTCCGCCTCGCCCTTCTCCCGCCAGCGCCCTTCGGGTTCCACCGCGCGCTGCTCGGCTCGGGCTGGCGCCGGCGCCTCCAACTCCCTCGCTGTCCCGACCGGACTCGGCTTCATGGCCCCCAATCGGGCAGCGAGCGCCGTCACCTCAGCGGGGTCGGCCGGGCGGAGGAGCAGGGCGCTAGGGCTGCGGCCGCCGACTCATGCCGCCCTGCGGCGGGGCGCGGCGCTGGAGGGGGCGGTAGCCAGAAGCCCTCGGGTCCTGCGCGCTGCCGCCGGGTGCAGCAATCCCGTCCCGGCCCGGCAGGCGCCGTCCGCTGTCGCCGCGCGTCCCTCGCCGAGGCCCGGCAGCTGATAACGCCCTGCCCGGAGCTACGTCACACTCGACAGCCCTGCGAACCCCCCGCCTGGCGCCCGCCTCCCCGCCCCGGCCCCTCGGCTGCGACGCTCGCGCCCCCAGGCTTCCCCTCTTCTGTCAGGCGCGCCGCCCGGCGCTCAGAGCCGCCTCCTCCTCGCTCGACCCTCCCCGCCTCCTCCCCGGCTCTCCCCGCGGGCCTCCTCGCCCCCTTTTCGGGTTTACTGCACCCGATTTTGCCCTCGCTCCTCATTGGCTCTTTCCCGTCGCCCAAAGCTCGGGGCGAGCGCCTGGAGCCCCAGCATCCTGTTACAGTCGGCCGCGCAGGCAGGGGCCGCGACGGGACGCGGCAATTGGGCTCTCCCGAGAACTTTCAGAAACTCAACCAAGTTGCAGCAGTCTTAACCCTTTCCCCACACGGCCACTCCTCATTTCCACTCACCAAGTTAGGTTCCTTTCACTTCCCAAGCCGGGTACTGCGAGTGTATTCACAGACGAGTCCTGAGGGGTTGGTCCCTTAACTCCACTATGTAAAGGCAAGCAATACAAAGCACGATGCAATGTTGTTCTAAAACTGTTAACTTTTGTTGTCGTTTTAATTTTTTAACGTCTTACTATGGACGGCATTTAAAATTAGGCAGGAGGATGCGCTGTATACACCAAGAGGTTGCATCTCTTCAAGCCTGCGATTTGAGTGCACGCGCGTGCGCGCTTTGGTTTTTGTTTGAGCTTTTATTATTACTTAGTCTGCGTTTACAATAAGAACTCTGACTCAGAAATCAGACTGTCTGGATTTGTATCCCAGTTTCACCCCTAAATAGCTGTGCGGGCAACTTATTCCCTTCTCTGTGTCTGTTACCCCCACTGTAAAAGGGAGCAGCTGCTATGGGAAACTGCTATTGAAGAATTGTAATAATATGCAGCATATGATAGATATTGCGGGGGCTGTGCGCTCACCACGTGGCTAGCACATAGGTAGTAAGGGTTATATAAGTTATAGCTTTTCTCCAGAGGGATTTAAAAGTCTTCCCTCTTGAAGTTTCATGTATTGATCATCTCTGCTTGGAACACACTACTCCAGACCCCTATCCCACTGAAATTTCCGGTGGGATAGAGGTCTGGAAATGCCACTGGCTGTCTTATCTGTGGAAAAGTACCACATATATCTTCAAAAGCAGTACATCCAAGAACCTCGGAAATTCAATCCCGCAAGTCACAATTGCTGAAGTCCAGACAGTGTTGTGTGAAGGAGTGCATCCTATATCATTATTTCAGAACCTTACACTTTTGCCCATCTGCTTACCCCTGCTAGGAATTCCTCTTCTTTTCTCCCCTCTCTGTGTGGTTTACTCTCAGTTCACTCACTTCCCTCCTTTGAGCTCCAGTAAACTATATAAATATCTGATTTTTATCCCATGCTACCTGTAAGGTTACTTACCTGGATGTGCACACACTTATCTCTGTACGTGGGTGTTTATATGTATCTCTTTTCTCCGTCTACATTATGACAGCTTCCTGAAGGCAGAGACTGTTCTAATACCCTCTTAGTATCACTGTCTTCGGCACATTACCTTGCAAGTATTCACCTGACAATTGCTAGAGAGAGACTCAACATAATGTAGATTGGTTGTAAATTCCTTTTTCATTAACATATTCTTAAACTAACTTTTAAACTTAATAGTGTCCATTTAATCTCCATTACTACAAATAGAATTAAGTTGACATTTACAAAAACAAAAACAAAAGAACTCCCTTGCCACCTTTCACTTTCCTCCCTATTGCTGCCTCGCACAGACATGAAAGGAACTACAAACTTGATTCATAATTAACAAGGTTGTATATTAGATCTAAAAATGGAATTATGGTCAGGTGTTCACAAGCATACAAAATCAATTCTATTCAGGTTATCTATTCTTTATGCCCACTGTTGCCAAACACTACTTTATAATACAGAAACTAATTTTTCTCCCTAATTTTACCAAGGCACGAAACAATAATGACTTATCCTGCTTGCCAAATGCCACTCACCCTTGTCCTCTGTCATTGTTTCATTCTACTCATTTCTAAACAAGCTTCTTGCTTTCTAGCTCTGAATTAGATTCCTCTGTCTGGGTGGAGTCTATTATTGTGGCCTGTGTTATGTCACACATCAACAACTATATTTATATAGTTGAGGGAGAGAAAAAAGCTGAAACACATTTTTACACACAACTAATAAATCTTGTGAGGCAGGCAGACAAGTTGCTATGTCTCCAAACCTCCCCACCCTCCCAAAACCCCTCCCCACCAAATGCCACTTTGAGCTGGCTCATTAGTCCAAAGTAAGCCATTTGCCATAACAGCTTGTATATCTCCATGAAGAAGTGTTCTCAGCAAGTTTAAATATTAAAACTAATGTATTCAGATGGTTCCACCAATAAAATGGTCACGAAAAGGAAAAAAGGTTATGCTTTCCAAAGTATCCATTACACATTAATAAATAATGCTGTTCATTCACATGCCAATTAAAACAAACTCGGGCTGTCAAATGAAGTTAGAAGCAAGGAGCTCAATGCTGTAATTGTTTTTCCAGGAAAACTCCCAATGTCATCAGATTAAGTGAGATGGGCTGGGTTGCCCCTAGTCTCTTTTTAAGCTAGCAGTCAAATTTTCTCCCTCCAGTCTAATTCCCTGGATTTTCTTTCCTCTTTGATTCTTTTGTTTTCATTGCAGGTATTCCAGAAGCAGTTGAAAGTAATCGCCCACTGCTCCCTTATGTTGCCAACAGAATCTCACTTCCCCCTACTGTTTTGATTTTTCTCTCCCTTTCTTTTTAAAGCAGGTGCTGGTAGTTCCTCCTCCACTAGTGCTATTTCATTATCTCCTTTCTAATGTTCTTCAGCCCTCGTTGGTTCCTTTGCTTTCCCTGGACACTTCTATCTTCTCAGAAAAACTGTTAATTGACACTCAGAAAGTGGACCACTAAAGATGGGGTGGACCTGCCACCTGGATGGTCTGGAGACTAAGATAAAGTTGCCAGCATGAAAAGGAGTCTTGGCTGAATATATTACAGTTGTGTGGCTTATGATTGAAGATCTGTCCTGGGCAGAGCCAGAAAATGTCCCTCATACCACATAGTCTGATGCTTTGCCCTTAGGCAGAACAGCTCCTAACAGCACCGCCACCAAAGTCTGAGCATCATTCTACAAATGCCTTGTCCAGCAGTGAACATTCTATTGCAGCCAAGCAAAGTAAGGAGTATCAATTGCACATTTTGCTATCAAGCAAAGCAGCAAAATGATGCCTTGCAGCTTTTATGGCGAAACAAACACAAATGATGTAATTGGGAAAAGCTGTCTCCGAATAGGAGGAAAAAAGTAAAGGGCAATCGTTTGAGTTGGAGTGATGACCACCATTCGAGCGTCTGGGATCAAAGCCCCAGCCAGACATCAAAGCCCATTTGAGTCTAATGCCAAAAGAGCCACAGTGAATTAAACTTCATATATAAACTAATTATAGCTTGACCCCACAATCAGGCTTCAGTGAACACACAGGGGAAAGAAAGATCATTTGAAACAAAAGTTCAAGAAAAAAGAAACTTGGTAGCAAAACGGGGCAACATCATGGCCCTGAAAATTTTAAACATCTTTAGAGGGCAGAGGGGAATAGGGGAATAGCAGAACAAACAGCAAATCGTTTGACAATGCGGGTCTTGTTTGAAAGGCTATAAAACGACTCTTTCCATCCTCTCTGACTGGTGCACAACCAAACACGACCAAATAAACCATCATAGAATAAAAGGTTATCTTTTAGCTGTATTTTAGTGCTGTTAAAGAAGTTGTATGTAACCAGGTTTTGTTGTAGAAGCCCAGGGTGATTCCATGAAGTTTGGTGGTAAGTTCTTCAGGAAGCTCCGACTTTCTCATGCAGAGCACTGTGGATTCCAAAGATTCTAGAATGTCTGGAAGTGAGTGTATTCCCCACCACCTTAGTCACTGATTAAGGTGATTAAGGCTTCACCAACCTCAGACTTCCATCCCTTAGCTCTGCCATTTCTACCGGTCATCGTTACAGATGGAAGGTGAAGAGTACCATGTGTGCATATACCTAGAGCTACATACTGTGGACAACCATGAAAGGATTTCATTCCAAAGCAAAATTTCAAAGTGTTTCGGAGACAAGTGGCTTTTTTTTTCAGACAGGGTCTTACCCTGTCATACAGGCTGGAGTGCAGTGGCACCATCTCAGATCACTGCAGCCATGACTTTCCAGGCTCAAGTCATCCTCCCGCCTCAGCCTCTCAAGTAGCTAGGACTACAGGCTAATTTTTGTGTTTTTTGTAGAGATGGGGTTTTGCCATGTTGGCCAGGCTAGACTTGAACTTCTGAGCTCAGGCAGTCTACCTGTCTTGGCTTCCCAAAGTGCTGGGATTACACAAGTGGCTTCTTTAAATAATTGTATCGGTGGATTTTGACCTCATTCGGCTTTATTAGGACCATTTCCCTAATAATTTAAAAATTTTAATTTCACAAACTGACAAACAATTGTATATATGATTTCATGATTCATAGAATCTTTTCAATCACATTTTTGTATATAAACATTAGTGTTTTCTTAAAACAACATCTAAATTTATAACCTGAATACTTAATAACTGAAAAATTATTTTTTTAAAAAAGGCATTCTCGTGGGATAAAAACAAATATGTATCATCATCATTACATTGCACCTCTTTGAATATTCACTCACAGATATTTATTGAGTACCTAATATATATACTAGGCACTGGGGATATAGTGGTGAGCAAGTCAGATACAGTCCCTACATTCATGAAGCTTATGGCCTAGAAGGTAAATGGGAAACTAATTAAATAATCACATACATAAGTGTGTATGTGTGCATTTACAAATTGTAAAACTATCACAATTTGCAAAATAATATTTTAAAAGCAGATATATTCTATGATTATATCAAAAAAGTTATACTCAAATGAAATTACAAAAATATATTTTTGACCTTTATAATCCTTAAATTTTTTCCGGGAAAAGAGATCTTATATTTTACTTCGTATTATCTTATTTTTTTAAATATTTATTCCCCTTAAAGCCACATTTGAAATTACTTTAGGAAGATACTTGCTGCATACCAAAACAATATTTCATCTAAATATCTTCCACTGAAAGGGAGTAACTAGTACATGTAAATAAGCTTTAAGTAACTTACTACTGCACTGATCTGCTTACTACTTTTTCCTCAGAATAATCCCAGAAAGGTGAAAGAGAAAGCATCACTCCAACCCAGGGTACTATGAGCAATTTCCAATATGGTTTCCTGGTCGTTTCTACATAGTGTAAAGAAATAAGAGGTGACATTTTGTGGGAGAGCCCTAGATTATTAACATGAAAGTGGAGGTTTTTGATTTAGGATATAGACATTTTGTCCAACTTTTCCATCTCCTTTCCCCTGTGAACCCAGCCTCTCTGAGGCCAGGCAAGAACTGAAAACAAGCTCTCACAATGATTTCCTGGCCCGTGTTTGCCTCCAAGACCCGCACAGCCTCTTTAATTAAGACCCATCAGGGGCTTAGGGATCCCTGTGGAAAAGGCTGGAATGCCATTATCACCCCCAGAGAGGCTGAAAGCGCGCACTGCTGGCCGGGCTCAGGTCGCCTTGCCCCACGGGGCGCCGCCTCCTCTAATCCCGTGGCACCTCCGCAGGGCGCAGTGTGAAGAGTAGCACATTCACTTCAAACAGAAGTCGGGCCCAGAGTGTATGTTTGGGCTAAGGGGGAAGATGGGGGTCGTGAAGAGACTCAGATTCAAAGAGAAGTCGGCTGGGATGACAGTC